CCCCACCCCACCCCCGTTAGAATACAAGCTCCATGGAGGGAAGAGAGGGTTTGTACTCTGTGGATGCCTGGCCCTGGGATACATCCTTGGAGAGACCATCTCACCGAGGACTATGATCATCTGCGAGGTGGGGGGCAGCGGGGGGTGGGGGGGTGCTCATCTATGTTACAGCTAAGGAAGCATGAGATCGCAGAGCGAGCTGACTGCAGGGCAGCGAGTGGCAGAGCTGGGTGTGAGCAGGGCCTACTTGGCTCCAGAGATGGGCGGGGCTTCACCTTCTCGGACACCCCGAGTCCTCCCCACCCCCACCCTCACGCCGCAGATGGCATCATACTCACGTTGGCCCCGATGGGGCCCGGTGGGCCCTTGTCACCCTTCAGACCAGTCGGTCCCTGAGGGAGGAAACGATTCAGGCAGGTGGTCCCCAGGTTCCCCCCCAGTCCTACCTGCACTCTAGTAGGCTGGAGGTCCCCATCTCCTTCCTAGGGTTGGGGTGGCCATGGGGGGAGGGGGTCTGCCTCCTCCAGGCCTCTCCAGCCACTGTCCCTTGGCTTTCACAGCTGTCCCCACCCAGCATGCGGTCGCCATCACCCCCTCTGGGACCCCTTTCCTTCTCTGCCTCCAGCCCATCCAGGTGTCTGCCTGAAAGAGGCTCCAAAAGATGACTCACCAGGTCCCCGGGGGCCCCTTGGGGGCCAGGGAAGCCCCTGAGTCCAGGTGGGCCTTCCTTTCCAGAGGGTCCAGAGGGTCCCAGGTCCCCCTGCAGGAAGAGTGCAGAGGAGAGAGGTCAGCGCATCTCCCCCGAGTCTCTGAGTCTGGGGCCCTCCACCAGGGGGGTGGGGGGCTTGGCTGAAGCCCTGAGGTGTCACAGGGGCTGCTGGAGGGCTCTGGGGGCCACTCAACCAAGCTCTCCTGTCGAGTGAGGTCTCACCTTGCTCCCTTCTCTGCCTTCCAGGCCCGGAAGTCCATGCTCGCCAGGAGGCCCAGGGGGGCCTGGGGGCCCCCTCTCACCCAGAGGCCCCACTTCTCCCGTCTTTCCCTGCAGAGGAAGAAGACCGGTTATCTTGAATGGCGATGGCCTGTGTGTGTGTGTGGTGTGGGTGGTGGGGGGGTCCTGAATGGGATCCCAGCATCCCCCCACCCCTCCCCCAAGCAAGGCAAAACTGGACAGGTAACTCAGACCTGAGGTCCCACAACACCAGCGGGTCCTGGCGGGCCTGTCTGACCTTGGAAGCCCTGGGGAGACAGACCAAGTGGGGGTGTCACACAGAGGGAGGAGAGGAGGGACATCATAGGGTCAGGGGTCAGGGGATCGCTCACCAAGTCTCCTCTCTGCCCGGGATGTCCAAGTCTCCCATCTTTTCCCTGGGGGCCCTGAGAGACAAGATGGGGGAAACTGGGGTATAGCTATGAGTCTCCCTGCCTCAGGGGTACCCCCACCCCAGGCCTCAATCAGGGTGAGCTCACTCACTGGGGGGCCCTTTGGCCCAGGGAATCCAGGGGGTCCTTGCAGACCGAGGAGACCCTGAGAAGAATCAGAAGTCGTTATCCCATCCCTGTGTCTGGCGGGGGCCCTAAGAACACCCCCTAAGAACACGCTTGCACCAGAGTGTGTCCCGCAGGCCCCAGTGTCCACACACGGGAAGGGGTTCCTTTACTGCTGCAGCCCTTGTGGGTGAGGACTGCAGCTGTTCCCATTTGACAGAGCGGGAAACCGAGGCACAGAGAGGCCATGTGATTACCCCGGGTCACATCGCTGGCGAGTGGCAGAGCTGGGACTTGAACTCACAACTCTGTGGCCTGAGAGGATAGTCTCTTCCCACTCCACCCCCCACCCTGGCATTAGTACATTCCCCCATTCCCTGGGCTTGTCTCCCTCCAGAACCCACCAAGCCATCAGTGGATCAGTCTTTCTCACATGTGGACACACACACACACACACACACACACACGCACACTAACCTTTTCTCCAGGGATCCCGGGAGCCCCGTCCTGGCCCACATCCCCCTAAGACAGAGAGAGTGGAAATAAACCCACTGGAAGGGATGGGAAGATAGTGGGTGAGTCTGGGGCAGAAGGATCCCATGATGGCCCTGACCACCCACCCATCCCATACCTTGGGGCCTGGCTGTCCTGTGGCACCTGGTTGCCCCCTTTCTCCACGAGAACCCTGAGCAGAAAAGTGGGGAAGATTAGAAGGAGAAGTGGGGGGAGCTAGGAGATGGATCATCTCCATGAGCACCCCCTTCCTCTCCTGCCCCATCCCAGACACTGACATGACCCTGACATCTCCTTCGCAGCCCTGTCCCCACTCACCCACAACCCCACCCTCACCCACAACCAGGGCATTCTCTTACTGGTGGTCCCCGCTCTCCTTCCTCTCCTGACTGCCCCGCCTTTCCCTGAAAAGGAATTTGGGTGGAGGGAAGCAGCAGAGAGTTATGATACCAGGACATGGACACAAACACACAAATGCACAGTTATGGACCTAGAAGCTTGTCTGTTCACATCTATTCACAGCCTTCTATTCACACACAAATGCACCACTCACACACAAGGCCACACGATGGTGACAGACACCCAATGGCATCCACAGTTACACCATCACACCTACAGGGTCCAAGCATGCAAGCTGCCGTGCACATACAATACAGACACACACACACACACACACACCATGCCAGGCATTTGGCAGTCTTCAGCCTTGAGTGGATTGACACACGGAGCTTGTAGCCAATGTGCACACACATGCCTGGATTAATAGAAGGAACTTAGTCCTGATGAACACAACCAGGACACATATACCAACCGGGTGCCACCAAGTCAATTCTGACGCATAGCAACACTGTGTGAACAGAATGCAACCATGCTCCATTGAGTGGCGGGGGTGGGGGCGAGGGGGGCATTGGACTGATTGGTTCAGAATCCAGCCTCTCCTCTGTGGCACCTCTGGGTGGACTCCAACATCCAACCTCTTGGTTAGTAGCCAGGTGCAAGAACCATGTGTACCACCCAGGATGCTAATGTACATATACCCATGTTCATATGCACCGTGTCTATTTACATCAAGTACACACACAGCAAGAGAATACGTACATGGGCTCATCCACTCAGTCCATGCACATGTGCATCATCCACATCCGCATGTTGATGTCACACACATACATGCAGATCCATGATCTTGGTCACTCAGACACAGACCTGGACCCTATCTGATCAACAGAGAGGGTCACTTGCTATGTACATGCCCACCAAGACTCACAGGTCATACCTGATGAGTGGTATGTGATGCACTACATGTGTTCTGCGTGAACACAGTGGCATGAGCGCACACAGGCCCACCCACACAGGCAGGACTTCCTCTCCTCTGACCCTGGATCAGGACTCACCCGTTTCCCTTTCTCTCCTAATGGTCCCAGGGGCCCGGGAAATCCAACAGATCCCTGGTGGAGAAAATCAGAAGAGAAGGGGTGGAGGTGAGGATGTGGCAGCAGGCAGACCAGCCATACCAGCCCTCGTAGCCCTTTCATGGTCACTGGCTCCAGTAGCTTCCTTGGTCCCCACAGGTCCAGCCTCTTCTAAGCCAGCCTTTCGCCCTCCTCTCCCCATTCTCCCTGTTGCTCCACACCAGCCGCACCAGCTTCTTCAATGCTCCTTGGACACACCCGTACACCCCTGCCTCAGGGCTTTGACAATGGCTACTCCCATTGCCCAGAATGCTCTTCTCCCACGTTTCCACAAAGCCAAGGGCTTCCCACCGTTTAGGTCTCATCCACATAGCACCTCCTTGGAGAGGCCTTCTGCCACCATCCTAACCACCTCCTCTATCGCATCGTCTTCTGCCCCCCGCCCCCCACCCGCGATGTACCCACTACCACTGGGTCAGTTCTGGCACAGAGCAACCCTACAGAGTTTCCCTGGCTGTAAATATTGGCCGGAGCAGAGCACCTCGTCATTTTTTCCATGATGCTTATACTTAAATGGCCTTATTCATTTACTCACTTATTCCAGCCTGGTTTTTCCCACTAGAACACAGTCCACCAGTCCTATGCCCCACAGTTTCAAAACACACACAAACAAACACTGCCATTGAATCCATTTGGCTGATTGCGACCCTATCGGAGAGCATTAGAACAGCCTCTTTGGATGTCTGAGACTTTGCATCTTTACCTGAACAGAGAGCTTCCTCTTCCTCCCATGGAGCAGCTGGTGGACTCAAACCGATGCCCTGGTGGCTCATGACCCGATACATAGCGCACTGTGCCCCCCGGGATCCTGCCCAGTGTTTGTTATTGTTCACTGTCGTCTAAGCCCTGCCTCACCAGTGGGATCCAGGGGAATGGAATCCACAGAGTGCTATCCAATCCTGTGTCGGGATTGGTCTCAGATTGGACCATGGGATCCCTCAGGATTCTCGCTGGCTGGTTTCTGGAAGCATATCACCTGGCTGCTCTTCCCGATCCATCTTCATCGGGAAACATCACTGAAATCTGTTCACCATCTCAGCAGCCGGGGAGCCTCCAGGGGCGATGGCGGTGCCTGAGTCGCATTGGCCAGAAACTGAAGCTGGATCTCCCTCGTGGAAGACAAGCATCCTACCCCAGAGCCCAACCCCCGTGAGTATGTTCACAAAAACAGACTCCATATGCCACACCCACGGGGGTAGCCGTCCAGAAATCAGATGGCACATGGCATTGGGCACATCTGCCGCCAAAGATCTATTTCAAGTGTTCCCAAGCAAAGACATCACTTTGAAGACTAATGTGCACCGAACCCCAGCTCTGGGACTTTCCACCATTCCGTATGCTCGTGAAAGGTGGGCGCTGAGTAAGTAAGATCGGAGAAAAATAGAAGCCTCTGAATTACAGTCTTGGGGGGGAAAAGGAAAAAGAAATATAGAGTGTGCTGCCAGAAAATGAACAAGTCTGTGTTGGAAGAAGCACCGTCAGAACGCTCCTTAAAGGAGAGGATGGTGGGACTCCAACTCTTGTCCTTTGGACATGTTGTCGGGAGAGACCAGTCCCTGGGGGAGGACCTCCCGCTGGGAAAAGTAGAGAGTCCGCCAGAAAGAGGAAGGGCCCCGACAATGTGGATGAACACCGTTCATGGGTGTTCATGGCTCCACCCCAGGGATGACTGTGAGGATGACTGAGAACCGAGCAGTGTTATACAGAGGGTCACAAGGAGTCAGACTGGTTTGATAGCATCTAACAACAACAAGACCGACCCCAGGCCACACTATCCTGCCCGCCTGGAAGAGACCCTCCCCGCACCAGAAGAAAGATCTCTGTGGTGCTTACATCATTGGGTGTCCATCTGGGACTAGGAAGAATGAAGGGGTGGAGTTTAGCCTGTCAATCGGTTGGCTGCTTGATGACATCTAAGGGAAAATAGCTCCTTGGAGCCGGGACACACGCTCACTCCCTGCGAGACCTTACTGAGGACGAGCCTGATGGAGCTACACTGATGCATCCAGAGCCCTGGAGCTGGAGGAGCCACGTGGAGGCGCCTGCCAGCACTGAGATGCTTCTACTGCCGCTGGATCCACAAGACTTTCCACCCACTGGCCTGTGATCTTCCTGCATTCAGCGTTATTGCATGTGTTTCACGAGTCTGAAGAGGGTTTTATAGATTGGACTAATATCTGACTTACGGACTTGATCTGGGATGTTTTCTCAATATTCAATTGCTCTCGAATATAAAGCTCTCTCTTATACACATATGAATGTCTCTGGATTTGTTTCTGTAGTCTCCCTGGACTAACGCAATATCAAAAGGACCGGATAGCCCTCTGATGCCTCACTGTACACACTGAGTCCAGATCCGAGAGACACTGCCCAAGTTACCCAACAAGTCTGTGGTAGCATCCATTCTCAAAACATATCCCAGGCCCGCTTCCCATCTGTGACCCCACAGCCTCTCTGTTCTTCAAGGATCCTCCACAAAAGGACCTGTTACTGTCTTAGACTAATTAATCCATTTCTTACCAATTGCACCTGAAAATAGAACTACTTCTCCTACGAATCAAGGGCCCCCTTCCTGGGGCACCTACTTGACGTATGACGCTGTACCGAAGGCTTTGCCTGCATCATCAGAGTTTGCTGCCAGATCCATGGCTGGACTAGCTGTGTGACCCTGAACAAGTGGCTTAACCTCTCTGGGCACCCATTTCCTTGTTTCCAGCCTGAGGATATCAGCAGGGTGTACCTCAAAAAGATTTTCAACCCCTAACTCCAAACTCATTGCCAATGAGTTGATTCTGACTCATAGCAACACTACCGGTAGAATTGCCCCCATGGGTTTTGGATACAGTAACTCTTGATGGCAGTAGAAAGCCTCATCTTTCTCCCTCGGAGCAGTTAGTGGTTTTGAACCGCAGCCCAATGTGCTACCCACTACATCCAATGAGATATTGCATAGAAAGCACTTCATGCAGTGTTGGGCATTTGGCAAGCACTCAGGAAAGGTTCGCTGCCATCGTTGGCATTTATCATTTTTATTGCCGACCTCGACTTCCCTGGCGCACTGTACCTCCTGTAAAACATGTTGCTCAGTGATTAAGATCCTCTGGACTTGGCAAGACGTGGCTACTTCTCTCCCGTGGTCGGACCTTACACTTCACTGTGGTGCTTCTGTTTCTTCCCACCCCTGGTGGTCAGGCGCACCTGCTATGATGAGGCTCGCGTGACTGAACGCCCTTTGGCAAAAACCTGACAGACAGAGAACGGAAAAAGAAGGGCACCTATCCAAACACAAAGTTGAACAGAAACCACAGTCTAGTGTACCCTGAGACCAGAAGAACTGGAGGGTGCCCAGCCCCTACTGCCAACCATGCCAATCAAGACCACAATTGATGGACCCCAGGACGGAGGAACCTGCAATTTCTGAAAAACAAACTAAACAACAGACCTCCAGGACGGGTGAGGTTGAGACTATCACCCTGACATGCTCTTCACCCCGAGAATCAAGAGTCACGCCCAAGGTCACCTGGTAGCTAAATGAAACCTGGCTCAAAAAATAAGAGACCGGGGCTCAAGTGGAAAGCAAATGTGTGCAGAATGATGAGGGCAACAAATGCGCAAATGTGCTTGGCACAAAGGATGGATGGATGGATTGTGATAGGAGTTGTGCGAGCCTCCAATAAAATGATTAAAAATAATAATAATAGCGACTATCAGACATGCATACATAAATCACGACTCTCACCTGTGACTACTATGAATCGTTTTTAAAAATCGCCAAGATGGGACCGAACAATCAACCAGTGCTTGAAGACAATGATGAGACGCTAAGCGGGCAGGGCAACTAGAATATAACAGAACCAGGACAACCGGAACAGAAATAACGAGACTGTTCAAGCATTGCAAAGACGGTGGTCAATAGCATCACACAAGGTGGGCAGAGGTTGCTGAATGGGACCCTAAACTGCCTTGTAAACCTTCACCCAAAGCCCAGTAATGATATCTTCCAAAAAGCAACAACTGTGGTCAATAGGAAAAACGTGGCCGTTGATGGACTCTGATTCTCAGTGAGTAGAACGGTGTCCCGTCGATGCCCAGGGGCGAATTTTTCCAAGTGGCTCATCAGGCTGGGCTCATGAGGAAGCTCCGGGTGGACCTAAGCCTCCAACGTTTGGGTGTTGCCCCCCACCCCCAGGGCCACCCTGAAACAGCAAGGGCTAAAAGGAAGTCAGGAGCAACCTGGACCACCAACCTAGGTGTGAGCTAGAGAGCAGGGGGCACTCTGGAAGGGCCCTGGGGCCTTTACATTCCTGTTCTTGCTTTTTACAAAGGAAAACTCCAAACATCGATGATGTAAGATGGGTGTGGTTTAAGCAAGAAAGCTGAATCTAATCAGGCGCCCCATCCATCAAAATATTGGCAAAGAAGCATACATTTTCATGGAAGTGCACTTTCGCATAAAATACACATGATTGATTCTAAGTTACAAAGAATTCAAGAGATGTGGGTTTTTTTTAGGACTCTCCTTAGCTGAGGCACC